GTTTAGGAGTGGGCAGAAACCTACCAATTTGGCCATCGGACAATAATTAGCGGTTAAAATAGACACAAAATTTTATAAAAGAAAATAGGAAAATTTCCACTAACCCGCGAATATTTTTAACCCCAGCCAAATCACAAATACATTAAAAGAGCACTTCTGACCATTAGAGTGATGCTAATAGCCAAAAAATCGGATATATAGCAAAATAGGTACAATATATATGTAAAAGAATTGATCTTATTTATTCAGCTTATAAATCAAGAAGCGCTGGGCCGATTTTCACAATTCCCATCAATTCGGAATGGTCTTTTGCCAGTAAAGCAGAAAATCTACCAATAAAAAAGTGAAAATATTTTGTTCCATTTTTTTATACCCTCCACCAAAAAAGGTATGGAGGGTATATTAAGTTCGTCATTCCGTTTGTAACTCATCGAAATAATCATTTTAGACCCAACAAAGTATATATATTCTTGATCAGCGTAAAATTCTAAGACGATTTAGCCCTGTCCGTCCGTCCGTTGTAATCACGCTACAGTCTAAACAAATTAAGATAGGAAGCTAAAATTTTGCACAGATCTCTCTTTTGTCTGCAGGTAGGTCAAGTTCGAAGATGGGCTATATCGGTCCACGATATTGTATAGTCCCCATATAACGGTACCCCCCGATATTCGGTATTTTGATGATTTTACCCACATTTTTCAACGGAATTGTCTGAAAATCCACACAAGGAGTTCCTTGTGGGTACTTTATACCTCGGCAGAGAATTGTCCATATAGGTCCACGATATCGTATATCCCCCATATAACGGTACCTCCCGATATTCGGTATTATATGATTTGACCCACATTTTTCATCGGAATTGTCTGAAAATCCACACAAGGAGTTCCTTGTGGGTACTTTATACCTCGGCAGAGAATAATCTATATAGATCCACGATATTGTATAGCCCTCATATAATGGTACCCCCGATATTCGGTATTTTGATGTTTTTAGCCATATGTTTCAACGGAATGGTCACAAGGGGTTCTTTGTGAGCACTTTACCCACCGACAGAGAATTCTCTATATAGGTTAACGATAACGTATAGCTCCCATATAACGGTACCCCGCGATATTCGGTATTTTGATGATTTTAGTCACATTTTCCAATCGTATTGTCTGAAAATCCACACACGAAGTTCCTTGTGAGTACTTTACACGCAGACATAGATTTGTCTTTATAGGTCCACAATATCGTATATCCCCCCATATATCGGATATTTTAAAGATTTTAAAAGAATTTTTATTGGATTTTATTTTTTTTTGAAAATTTTCTAATTCGTTCCAAATGGTGGAGGGTATTTAAAGTTCGGCCCGGCCGAACTTACTGCTTTTTTACTTGTTTCAATTCTTGTCATATTTTTAATCGCATGCGATTTTTTCAATTTGACTTACAATTTTGAATTGTAAATTTTCTAAATGTTTACACCCTACGTTTTGAGGGTATTATATTATATGCATTATATGCATGTCACAATTATCGTCCGATCCTCACGAAATTTGGCATGGGGGTAGGGTCAGAATTAAAGCCTATTGTTCTTAAAAAAAAAATATTTTTTTCTAATTTTGTAGTCGCTCTATAGGCCACAGTGGGAAACTAATCGACACGGAATTTCGCATCGGAAGAGAGTTAAGGACAGGGAAGAAATCTAGCATTTTGGATGACCATTAGATTACATTTAGATATAAAATGGACCACAATTTTTGCCAAATTCTCCGGAACTAAGGGTAACCGAAATCTTCCAAAATGGATTTGGATATAAGGGGACATCGAACATATTGTAGTGTTGTAGGGAATCACATGGTCTGCACGGCTATAGCCTTTGCTTACTTGTTTTTTTTTTTGAATTTAAGGATAAACGTTAACAAATATTAGGGAATTTATCCGGAACCCAGAAAGTCTACATATATATACACAGGGTGAGATGAAAAAACTGCAAACCAACTTCAGACTGCTGTCATTTTTAAGCCACTCGTCCTACAGCTGTTAAAATTATTCCAGTGACAGCTCATAATATTATTTAAAAGCGAACAAAACCATTTTGGTGAGATTTTTCCAGAAAAGAGGATATCCGTGATGGAATTCAAGGGTGATAGTGTGATTTCTTTATATTTATTTAAATGTGAATAAATATTTTGCGTCTCGTAGCATCGCTAGTTACCGTGATAATGGTAGCGTGGTCCGACGTCAAGAAAGTGGACGGAAGAAAACAGCAACATAAGCGGAAATGGTTCGAAAAGTAAAGAAACGACTTATAGTGGCCGACAAATGGCTCGTGAAATATAGAAAAAGTGAGCTCGCGGTAAAGCCATTGAAATTTCAGTAAGTTCAAGAACTTACACCGCAACAGAAGGAAAATAGACTCAAAAGAGCTAAAGAGTTGCTTCACTTGCCCGAAAGTGCTGAACTGCCGAATTTGGTTTTCTCCGATGAGAAAACATTCGTTGTCCAGCAGCTTGTAAACAAACAAAATGATCGTGTCTACTTGCCAAAGAGGTCAGTTGAAAATGAGTACCTTCGGTTTACCCCAGAACTCAAGCGATGGCCATGGTGATAGTGTGGAGTGGGCCTCCATAACAGCCGATGGTCTCTCTCCGCTCGTATTAATCGATCGTGGCATCAGAATAAATGCCAAATATTATCGCGAAAATATTCTGGAGGGTGTATTAAAGCCTTGGGCACACAAACATTTTGGCCACAGACCCTCGACATTCCAACAGGACTCAGCACCTTCGCACTCAGCACGCACCACCTAAGAATGATTACAAAATGAGGTTCCTCGCTTCATTTCCAGCGCTCAATGGCCACCAAAAACCTTCGGATACCAATCCGTTGGACTATTGTGTCTGGAGTATTTTGGAAAGCAAGGTTGGTACTAAAAAATGCCAAAGTGTCGATTACCTCAAGCAAGCGTTTCGCCGCGAATAGACCAAAATAACCGCTGTACGGTTAACATTCGTACAGCGTGTGACGCTTTCATTGGCCGTTTGAAGCCATAATTCGTGTCAAAGGCGACCAATACGAACAAATCTAAACTTATTCTAAAATTTGATGCTATTTTCGACATTTGCTGCTTTCAGTCATCGGTTGTACATCGGTCTGCCTGTCGGCAAAACCGACTGATAGATTTTACCCTCCACCATAGTATGGAGGGTAAATTAAGTTTGTCATTCCGATTATAACTCCTCGAAATATACATATTAGACACCACAAAGTATATATATTGTTGATCAACATAAAATTCTCTGCCGATTTAGCGATATCCGTTCGTCTTTCCGTCTATCTGTCTGTGGGATTCAGTGTAGCTTGATAAAATTTTATTTGTGTCGATAGAGACGACCTCAAAGCCGTGTAGATAGAGACGACCTCAGGGCCGTGTCTGTAGAGACGACCTCAAGGCCGTGTCTATGGAGACGACCTCAAGGCTGTTTCTATAGAGACGACCTCAAGGCCGCGTCTGCACAACTTTTGACATTAAAAAGGGGCCATGTATGTCCACATTTAGGTATAGCCCCCATATAACGGTACCTCCCTATATTCGGTATTTTGATGATTTTAGCTACAATATTCACCGATTTTTTTTTCAACTTTCGCATTTGAATATTGTAATGGCTTATGACAAAAGTTGCGATTGCAGCTCCACGTCGGGTATTTTTAAGATTTTAACAGAATTTTTAACGGATTTTATTTTTTTTTTAAATTGCCAAATTCGTTTCAAATGGTGGAGGCTATTCAAAGTTAGGCCCGGACGAATTAACAGCTTTTTTACTTGTTTTTTATATATATATTTTTATATTATTTAAATTCTATTCTTTTTAAATATTTATAACCGAAAGTACACAATTATTTCTATGAACGTGAGTTGATAATAATTTATAAAACAAAATTGGTTTTATCTCTTTGCAGCTTTGATTAATATGCGGCAGATGCAGTGAATATTTTTCTAACAAAAAAAAAAAAAAAAAAAATCAATTATGCTTATTAAAAATAATACTTAGTGCAATTAAAAAAGTTAATTAGCATAAATAATTTACGAAAATCTCTTTATAGTAAATATAATATAGAAACAAATAAGAAACAAAAAAGATAATAATTCAAAAAAAATGTTCCTCTAAAAAAAAATTCAAAAGAAAAACACACATGAAATATTAAATAAAAAATCACACATACACGCTAAAAAAATTAATAAAACAATCATTAATGAGCAATTAAGCAGTTCATTGTTATTCATGCCACTCTCTTCGCTCCCTCGTTTGAATTGAAAAAAAAAATATAAATAATAAAACACAAAATATTTTAAAACAAATTGTTATTGATAGGTTATGGACAAATAGCCAAAGTGGAGGCGAGAGAGATATAACTATTTGCATATAATAAAAAAAACAACAACAACATATATATGTTTATTTAAATCCCTAATAAATAGCCGCCTAAAAGTGAGCCACACCAATGCATGACTGAGCATTTGAACATTTGCCAATAAATATTGTTTCTAAATAAATATAAATTAAAATCCCAACAATATCAATAAATAAAATTAACACACAACTATTTTAAACAAAACTCAAAAAATTTGAAAAATAAAAAAAAAATTAAAATAAATTGTGAAATAATTGTGGCACATAAATCCAATAGTTTTTATGATGAAATAAATATAAATTTTTAATAAACAAAAAAAAAAAAATAAATAAAATTTAAATCGAAGCAGCAAAAGCAAAAAAATCAAATTTAAACGAATTTCAATAATCACAAAAAAAAGAAATAAATTTATTAAAAAAAATTCGAAAATATATTTAAATAAAATTTTAAATGAAAAAATATATAAAAAATTATAATATTCAAGAGCAAGCAAATAAAGCCCCAATAAATGAAATATTATTAGAGTCATTCTACAAAAAAATAAAAAAAGTTTTTTTTTTCAAATGTGTAACGAATAAAAAAATTCTTATAAAAAATTTTAAATAAAAAAATTATTTACATAAAAAGTTAAAAAAAAAATAGAAAATCTAAGAGATTACAAATTATGTGCTTATTGTAAATCTTAAAGTGAAAAATACTCAAGTGCTATAGCTACCCTCGAGGATTGATAACTTGCCAGTCAATCACCAGCACCCCTTTAACTTTAGAAATTGCTTCAGGCAAATTGTTTTCATCTTCCTCTCCAAATAGAAAAAAGGGTAATTAAATACTTAAATTTATATTTCTCTTTTTATTTATTTATTTATTTTCCTTTTTTAAATAATTATTCTCATTGTCTGTTTTGATATTCATCAACACTGACTGACAGCTACTTCGGCACGCTGTAACATCCGCATTTTTCATGTATTTTATTCCCATCTCTCTCTCTCTCTCTCTCTCTCTCTCTCTCTCAGAATCTCATTTCCATCAGACGTCATTTTGAGTAATAAATGAAAATGCACTTCACAAGTTCTCAGAAAGAACTAAGAGTTTTTTTTTTTGTTTTTATAATTAACTACAAGAAGTTGTTGGCGTTGTTTTTGTTGTTGCTGTTGTTAATTTGAAGTGTTCAAAACACTCGAAGAATCACAATCTTATATGAAGAACCTAGAGAAACCACCCAACGAACACTGGCTGTAGAGGGGGTAACAAAAGTGAAATCAATCACATTTGTGGAAAACGGTACCAGAAGGTAAGGAAATGTAGGAAAAGGTACTAAATATGGTACCATTCGTATGAAACAAATAGGACGAGGTTGATCTCTCACATGGTGAACCGAGAGACATTTCGGAAAATGCTACTTAAATTGTGTGAAAAGTATTTAAATGCTCTAAATGGCGTCCAGGTGAAACGGCTGACGGTACAGGGTGAGATAAAAAACTGAAAAAAAAAATAAAATGCCATAATTTTTAAAATTTTTTATATCCTACACCACAAAAAATGGTCAGGGTATTATGTCTTTGTGCATTTGTTTGTAACAGGCAAAAGGAAACGAGATAGACCCATTGTTCCTTTTGATGATCTGCATAGAATCACTTTCTGAGTTGATTTATGCATGTCCGTCCGTCTGTCCATGTATTTTTGTAAACAAAGTACAGTTCACATTTATTGCCCGATCCGGATGAAATTTTGCACAAATCATTTGTTTGGTCCAAGGACGAACCTTATTAAAATTGGAGATAACCCGTAAAAATTTACACATAGCTCCCATATATATCTTCGTCCGATTTGCCCTTTAATGGTGTACCAAACGTGTAATATCATCCTGAATAGTATGGAATTTTACACACACAATCAAATTAGGCCTGGAAATAAGTATGCGAAATTTGATCGAAAACGTTTCAGATATAGCTATTGCTCCAATATATATTGTTCATCCGATTTGTTATTTTTATCCCTCCGCAGCCGTAATATGCACTCTGTAACAACAATATTTGGGGAAATATATCAACTGCATCTCAGAAATACCTTTGCTAAATTTTATCGAGATCGGTTGGGATTTGGATATAGCTCCCATATATATAACTTCGTCCGATTTACATTTTATTGTGCACCAAACGTCTAATATTTTTCCAAATGGAATGGAATTTGGCATATGTGACCGAATTGAGCCTAGAAACCAGTATGTCAAATTTGTTGGAAATCGGTTCAGACATAGCTATAGCTTCTGTATATATTGTTCATCCGATTTCAAGTCGGCCCCGCCCGACTTTAATACTTTCTTTATGGTTTATACCCTCCACCTTTGAAGGAGGGTATATTGACTTTGTCATTCCGTTTGTAACATCCCTAAATATTCGTCGTAGACCCCATAATATATATATATATATATATATATATATATATATATATATATATATATATATATATATATATATATATATATATATATATATATATATATATATATTCATAATCAGTATAAAATTCTAAGTCGATTATACGATGTCCGCCTGTCTGTTGAAATCACGATACAGGCCACATTATTTGGCGTAGAGCTCCAAAATATAGCAAAATAATTCGTATTGTGTCTAGGATAGTTGGTATTGAAAATGAGATATATCGGTTCAATATTTTGATTAGCCCCCTATAACGGTACCTTCCGATTTTCTGTATTTTGATGATTTTTGCAACATTTTTTCACGGATTCGTCTGAAAATTGGTATTTATAGGTCATAATGGGTCGTAGTTCGTGTGGCGGGACATTGTATTCATTGGTCCATATTTTTGGTATAGCCGCCGTATTACGGTATCTCCCTATATTCGGAATTTTGATGGTTTTTGTCGCATTTTTTCACGGATTTGTCTAAAATTTGTTGGAATTTTTTGATGAAAATAGGTTCTATCTCCGTTGGCAAAACATTGTATGTATAGGTCCACGTTTTGGTATAGCCCCCATATAACGGTACCTTCCAATATTTGGTATTTTGATGATATTTGCCACATTTTCCCACAAATATGTCTAAAAATTGGTGGAGGGTATTAAAAGTGCGGGCTGACCAAACTTATTGTCTTTTTACCAGCTTTTATTTTATTTTTTTTTTTATTGAATGAAAGCAAAAACAAAACAATGCCGGAAATATCATCAAATTCTAGAATAAGTTTAGATTTTTTGGAATTGGTCACCTTAGGCACGAATTATGGACTTCAAGCGAGCAATGAAACCGTCACATGGTGCCCGAATGTTGCTCTGCATTATTTTGGCCCATTCCTGGCGAAGCGCTTGCTTGAGTTGATCGACACTTTGGTATTTTTAGTGCCAATCTTGCTTTCCAAAATTATATAGACACAATAGTCCAACGGATTGGTATCCGGAGATTTTGTTGGCCATTGTGCGCTGGAAATGAAGCGAGGAAGCTCATTTTGTTGCCATTCTTGGGTGGCGCGTGCTGAGTGCGATGGTGCTGAGTCCTATTAGAATGTCCAAGGTCTGCGGCCAAAATGTTTGCGTGTCCAAGCTTTAATGCACCCTCCGCGATAATGTTCGGCATTTATTCTGATGCCACGGTCGAACAATACGAGCGGAGAGCGACCAACGGCTGTTATAGCGGCCCACACCATGACCATTGCCGGCGCTTGAGTTCTGTTGGCCAACCGAAGGTGCACATTTTCGATCATTTTGTTTGTTTACAAACTGCTGGACAATGAATGTTTTCTCATCGGTAGTTGACCATTTTCGGTAGTTGACCATTTTCGGCCAAACGAGGCATCTCTTTAGCTCTTTTGAGTCTATTTTCTTTCGCTTGCGGTGTAAGTTCTTGCACTTTTTGGAATTTCAATGGCTTTACCCCGAGCAAGTTTTTTAATATTTGCCGAATGGAATATTGCGATATGTTCAACTCACGAATCATTTTTCGACTTGATCGCAGGCTTCGATCAATTCGCTTCTTTACTTTTGGAATCATTTCTGCTGATGTTGCTGTTTTCTTTCGTCCACTTTCTTGACATATGTCGGGCTACGTTACCATAATTACGGTAACGAGCGTGTCGGACGAATGTCGTAGAAATGACAGCAGTCTGAAGTTGGTTGCAGTTTTTCCATCTCACCCTGCACCTCAAACACATTTTAACATTTTCTAAAAATTATCATATGTATGCGATATGGAAGGAAGTAGTCGATACAGTCCAAACCTGGAACGTCGCAATATTTGTATCATATTTATTACGGAATCTACTCCATAGAGGGTCAACAATTTGAATAATCGTAACAGAAATCAAAATATATTTTTAAGTAATCGAACATTGCCTGAGGGTATACATCTGTCGGCAAAAGTGGTTATTTTTAACTTATGTTATTGGAAATCTGTACTAAGTGCTAAATGGTACTAAATTCGGTACACTTTCGTATTGGTTATACTGGTTGATCTGGGAAATTTTAAATATTGGTATTGGGGTCTCTGCCTGTAGGTAGGGTTAGACAACGAGTGGGGTTCGGAAATGAAAATAGCGTACGAAATGTACGATAAATTTGGTATTGCTTGAACAGATATAGTGCTTAAAATCTTAAATTTGGTATTATGATCGATGTTTATGTAAAGCTTGGATATGGAGGTGGTTTCGGAAGTGTGTACTATAATTGTAGGAAAGGTACTAAAAAGTACTAAATGTTATTAACATATTGGGTGGAAGGAATAGGGATAAAATGATAATCCTAAGCTACGGTCACATTGGACAAATATTTGATCGAAATTTGTTTTCCCATATTTGGCTGAACAAATGTGAAATTCATACAAAGCTGATTTGATTTTCACATTACAGTTAAATATTTGACAGATTTTGTTTGTTCAAGCAGTCACCAAACAGCGTCAAATAGTGCTATGTGTGTCACATGTTCACATTCGAAACATATATTTTCCCATTAAATTGTTTAATCAAACTGTGAGGAAACATACGTTTATTTGGCCGAGAGAAATAGACAGAGAGAGAGAGAGACAGAGAGAGAGTGACAGAGAACATACAGAAAATGGAGTTTCGGATATAATTTATTTGGAGAAGGGAACTGAACTGCCAAACAATTTTGGAATTGAAAATGATGAATGAAATATTATTGAAATTTGTAAAAATTGTCGAAAAAGTCATATCATTACAACCTCCGATTTGCGTCGCGAAAGAAAACGTAGAAAAATCTTCTTATTTTTTCAAAACATTTCAAAATTTTTGACATATCAATGTTTCAAGCGTTGACGCGTCTACCTAATTCCTGTTCCAGAACCTGCAAGAATCTACTAGTTTCGCAATTTTCTTCGATATCAAAAAGGGAAAATCGGTTATCGTAGTAAAAACATTTAAATTCTTGCAGTTCTGGAACAGACTATATATTACAATTTTTACTAAACATTCAAATTCAGTTAATTCAAAAATATCAAATGAAAAAAAAAACACTTATTGCATTCGTTTGTGTTTCTATTTATTAAACATCATGTTACAAATGCTCCTGTTCTTAAAGCAAAATGCTGCTCAATGCACAGTGGTCGAGGTCGTATGGGAACAGCGGCCAAAAATACTTTCAGTGCACATATCAATATGAATCTTTGGTTATGGTATCTTGATGGGATAAAAATAAAAAATGTGACAAAATGGATATGGTCGATGCATGTTTTGGCATGGTCCCCTTACAACGTACCTCCCGAATAAGGAGTTAACAATTAAAAAAGCAGTAAGTTCGGCCGGCTGAACTTTGAATACCCTCCACCATTTGGAACTAATTAGAAAACATTAA